TTTTCCTTCAGCTTATTATATTTCAGAATATGCTATAAGTGATTCAGTGATCCAGTGCCCTTTGAGTTAGTAGGCCTCAGAGAATCATTGATGACTATTCTTGAAGACTTCTATTATCGTGGTCGAGGATGCTCTTAGGATGTGTACATGTTGAAAGTCAAGTAGAGGAATGGATCCAGCCATTGTATGCTTCCAGTATGATGCAAACACGCAAAGTTAAATTATCATTGCCAAAGAAGTGACTTTGAACAACCAGCCAGAACCCAGATGCTAAAAGGTCGCATAATCGTTAAAAAATGCACCTAAAACATTACACACATTCTTTCACACTGTAAAGTTGTCGCGTATGTGTCGTAAAAATGTCTTCCAGTAACTGCAAAGATGATCTGCAGGTAAATCATACTATGCGCGACAGATGCATTCATCCAGGTGACTGTAGGTCATGGTATTTTGAGATCCACTGTTTTTTGTAACTTATTCCTAGCTGCAACCATAATCCTAACTTCAAACGTAATCCTAACCCTAGACTATAAACCCTAACATTAAATGGCATAACCATACCTAACGGTGTAGATTTATAAAAAGATACCTAAGGAATAAGTAGAATACTGTATCTACCCTCTCCAAGTCTAAAATGGAAGGCCCGATTTAATTTGGAATGAACTTTCATAGCATTCCCTATTTCTGATTGGTTCTTAAATGTCATCTCTTGTCAGTGTCAGAGGAATTGTGTCGGACAAATTCTTTTCAAATTCACATTTACTTCTATCGTTTTGTGAGTATTTTCAAATCCTTCAGTTATTACTGAAATATGCGGTTGAATCCACAACGTTTGCAAAACTGATAGTGAAAAATTTGACAGGACCATCTATAAGATTATCCTCGGTGGTGGCTTTTTGGCTTCCATCGTTATCAGTGCACACAGAGTGAAGAGGAAGTGAAGAGCCAACAAGTAGAGGAGTTGCATTGGTAGAAGGAAAGCAAGATAATAGAGATGAAGATGAAGACAAAGATGAGCGAGGATTAGAGAGGTTTCGCGTGCACTTCGGCACCAGTCAATGAAATCCACAACAGTTAGTTTAAGCCACGTAGGAAGGTGTAGACTTCCTGGTTGGGGTCCTCGGGATGGTAAAAATCAATGGTTGGAAACAATTGGTGACATGGCTCAAAATCGTTCTCAGTGGCGCAGATGCATCCACTCCTTGTGACTTATGATTTCCAATTAAACTGTTTCGTTCTCCGTTATTACTATTCCTTTGTCTCACACCTCTGTTTACTGTCTATATTATGCATTTCTTCTACTTTCTTCTCTTGCTTTGTGTGCTACAAAGAGGGAGTGTGGCGACTTGAACTGTCGCACATATGTGCAAAGTTCTATGTCGAAAACCGACCGACCGACCGATAAGATTATCCCTACCGTCGTAATCATTTTTAGACTGACTGGTTTCAAAATGAAACCTTTCACAGATGTACAGCAGTTCGAGTTGCCACACTCCCTGCATGTAGCACACAAAGCAAGAAAAGGGAGTCGAGTTTCAAAAGAGAGATAATAAACAGAAGTTTCAGGCAAAACCATAATAATAAGGAAGAACAAAACAATTTTATTGGATATTATAAATCATAAAGAGTGAATGCATCTGCACCATTGAGAACGATGTCCAGCCATATCACCAGCCATCGGGTTTACCATCCCGAGGACACCAACCAGGAAGTCTACACCTCCCCACGCGACTAGCTTAAACTAACTTGTGGATTTCATTGACTGATAAAGCCATGTTCTGGTTTGACCGCCATATGCCAGCTCTTTTCCAATCCGATCCTATTTCAGCTAACATTGACCGTCGAGGAAGGCGATGTCCTAACCATCTCAATCGAAATGACTTCACAGCCTCGTCGATTCATTCCTTCTCCTTACCTAGCACTCGACCTAAGCTTAACCTCAATATTGCTCATCTTTTTATACCACTTGTTATACACGGGGAATGGAATGCAGATACCTATGATCACAGACAACTAGCCAAGCTTTTCATGTCTTCCACTTTCATTGGCCATGTCTCACTCACAACCATAAAAGAGAACAGACCAGACTGCAGAGCTGTTCACACGCCTTTCGGTCGACAGCCAACCGGATATCACGTCCACGCCAGAGATGGTTTAAGTTGGAGTATCCCAAACGAGCCTTCTGTATCCGTGCTGAGATTTCGTCAGCAATCAACTCGTTGGGGTTGATGTAAAGTGGTCAACATGCTCCACCAACCACTTCACTCCTACCTATCTTTAAGCTAGTAGTCAGTATAGTCCAGTCCTGTAACATCATCTTACATTTGACAAGGGGAGCGAATCGCATGCCAAACATTGGAAAACTGCTGCCCAAGGTGTTCAGAATACTCTGCATTTTCTCAGCGTCTTCACCTAGAAGGACTATATCACCTGCATATTCTAAGTCAACGACATTATTCCTTGGTAACAAATCAATCCCGGAGTCGCTGAAGTCAAATCAGTTAGTGTTAATTCCATTAGTACATCTATGTTGAAGCTGAATAGAAATGGGGATAGTGGGCACCCCTGACGGATACCACTGGTTGTCACCACTTCAGATGACAACTCGCCGTAAGCTCTCACCTTGCTGACTGCATGTGTCCGAATAAAGTGCATTGATCATTCCAAGTATTTTCTCGTCATTCCCTTCCCAGTCAAACATCACCATAGTACCTCTCAGTTGACGGAGTCGAATACCGGTTCCAGATCTGGACGTATGACGAATCTTGGACGCCATCAAGTATGACTATGTTCCAGAATCTGTTGAAGGGTAAAGGTGTGATGAATACACCCTCTTCCTGGTCCAAAGCCTGCCTGGTTTGCTCGTGTTTGTCCCTCATGGGAGCCGCTTTGTCTACTCATGATTACTGAGCCTAGAACTTTAGATACCATATTTGTCAAGCTAATCCTTCTGTGATCATCACAGGAAGACTTGTCTCCCTTTTTTTAAATGTGATAATCATTGACTTACATCAGCCTGATTCCCAGACGCTACCTAATGCCTTAGTTAACGCAGACAGTAAACTGTCTCCATCGTCCTTGAACACCTCAGTAGTCATCCCATTGGGTCCCTCAGCTTTGTCTCGTTTCAAACTAGTGACAGCTTTTGTAACCTCAGTTAGGGGTGGGGGACCTGCATGTATATCCCTTTCAGGGAGGTGTCGGATGCTGGGTAAATTGAGTGTGGCTGTAGGCCAATTAAATTGCCCCTCAAAGTGTTCTTCCCAACGTTCCAGTCGTCTATCCTGAAAGGTAATTATGTTGCCATTTCCTCGGACATTGTTTCACTTATCATTTGCCTTTTACCACCTGTTTTCCTGATAAGCCTAAATAGTTGTCTGGTGTTGCCAATAGCCGATGCCTTTTCCATCTCTTCTGCTTTTGCCGCCTACCACTGTTCACGGTCGTTTTGAAGACTTCTTGTCAGTTTGCGTTTGAGCAGCTTTCACTCCTCATCATTTTCGGAGCTTGCCGAAATCAGTCTTGCCTTAATCAATTCGGATGAGCTAGTAGAAGTCCACTGGTTCTTACTAATTTTTGGTTTCAGGTTATTAACAGCCTTTACATCTGTGTCTACAGCTAACTGTATGTTGTTCCAGGCTTCCCAAGGATCTCAGATACTTGTTTCGCTGTTTCCTCCTTATATGGGAACTCAGTATCTCGATCCAGTTGGGGACGTAACTGCTCCGCTGCCAACAATTTTTATGTCCGTTTTGTCGTAAGCATAAACGTGCACGAACCATGGCATGATCGGAGTCTATGCATGTATTTCAGAAGGAGCGGTAGTCTTCTACTGACCCTCGCCAACAATACCCTATCGCTATGTGGTTTATTTGAGTCCAGCGTCGATTTGGTAATGTAGGTCGCCAGGTTAGCCAATGTTTCTCTTTGTGCCTAAAGTTAATGCTGACAGATGATTATCTGAACAAAACTGTAGAAGACGATCACCGTTGTTGGTTCGTCGGCAGGGAACCCAGTATGTACCACCTATATACTTCTCAGTCTGACATAACTCCCCTACTTGGGCATTGAAGTTGCTTGCTAAAACAACTATATTTGAACGTTTTGCTTTTTGCAGCAAACTATACAATTCAGGTAGAAGTCATCCTTTAGTTCATCCAAACTGCAGTCTGTTTGGACGTAAGTGGAGACTATGATAGGAAAATGACGAGTAACGCTATCCTTCCTTCTTCTAACGGACCTGTTCAAACGGACCGCACACATACGACTATCTACTGGGACTTTTCCGCCCTAACACTCACTGCTATCCCTGCACCCTCGAGTCCTCGTGAACTAACTGAGGAGTCTCTTGGCAAACTTAAGGTGAATTTTGAAGATCCATTTAGTTGTCCGGGTGGGATAAGTGAGTAACCACACCGGTCTTGTATGCGTGACTCCGAAACACAGCATACATCCATGACTCGAGATGCCAGAGTTCTTGCTAGTGATGCCTGTTGTCCGATTTGGCAGAGGGTCCTGACGTTAAATGCTCCAATATGAAGTTGGTGGCGTGGCTTTAAGAGGTTCTCGGTAGTTTCCTGACTCATTGTTATTGGTGGTCACAGAATGGAATGAAGGTGACTGACTAGCCTGCAGAACAGTACTGACAAAAGTAGGGAAGCAAGATGATGAGGATGACAGGGATAAAGGATGATCAGGGTATCTGGTAGTCAGTGATGAACGGTTTTTATACTGTGTAAGGTGGTTCACTAAGATCAGAGTTTGTAATTTTAATCAAAGTAACTGCAGTGGTGTTTAAATTTAATATCTATTACTCAAAAGTGGTCTCACTGAAGTGTTACATACTTTGTCTTCAGAGTTTTCAGTTTGTACCTTCTAGTATAATTTAGTCATTATCCATAGTATGAACTGATACCCAATGAAGGCGTATTCTTCCCTTGTCATATATGTATATATATTCAAATGTTTGTGTATTGTTTTCTTTTCCTCCAGTGTAAATAATGAACGGTGTCACTTTCAATCATAACGAGCCAATGGCTCTGGGATCTCCTCCAAGTGGAACCACATCTCCAAGTGCTTGTCAGTATCTTCCAGGATTTCTCATGAGTGAAAATCCACAGATGGCAAATGCACAATCAACTGAATCCAAGATTCCACGTCAAAATCCTCTTTCCCCTCTATCTGGGAACGCATATAATATGCCAGTGAGTTTTATAATTGCCTAATTGCACATTTGATAAAAAAAAGCTGCTTTTAAAATCGATATCTAAATCACAATGAACGTCTGTATAAATCGACTAGGTTTCAAGGTTTCGCCTATTGTTGGAAGTTGACATTTTTTAAAATACAGAGTCAATTTTTGTATATTCGGAAGTTTTCTTCTCGTTTTGAGACTAAAGTTGTAGAATTCTTGGCGTAGAAAGTTAGTCTTAATTCGAATGTTTGTTAAACATATCGATCCATTACCAATGGAAAAGTGCAGCTTTGTCTAATGTAGTAAGAATGTAAAGAAAATTAAAGGGATGGTCAAATGAAAACATGACTAGAGTCTTTTTTCAGCTGTATTGTGTAGGTGTTTGTAGTTGGGTTTTGCCTGACAACGCTGATCAAAGTTTGAAGTCTTTAGATAATTATGATGTTAAGTAAAATTCACTGGTGGAGGTTTACTTGCGCTCTGTTTTCATTTAATTCTCCTTTTGTTAGACTTTCTGTTTACTCTTATTTCCAAGTTTTATAACTGATGTCCTATTTTTAAAATTCTTCATTCTCCACTTTGCCAACCAAAATAAATTACAACGATTTGAACTACTTCCATTATGGGTAAATTTTATTTTGATAAAGTTTCACAGTGTTATACAGTAATGTTTACTGATGACGTTTCGAGCACAATTTATTTCTCATAATCATAATCATAATTTAGATTACTGTGTACTTTAACCAGTTCTCGTATTTTTCTGTATCTGTGCATTTATCTTCGCTTCAAGTTCTTGGTCTTGAATAGGTTGGAATTCGTTGCATAACTATTAGAAATTGATCAGTTTGTATGACAACATGAACTGTTGTACTTCTGTGCAAAGTTCTGTATTGAAACTCACTTAATCAGTTAGTCAGTCAGTCAGTCGTTTTCAGTATACATTTAGGACTTTTTTTTCTGTATGTGCGGCTGTGGATTCACCCTGTGCGTGTGTTAGACATCTTAGACTTTCTATTGAAAGACATAAGACTAACTAACTTCGGTTCGATTTTGAATTGTTCACTTTAACTAGATGTTAATTTTATTGAAGATGAACTAACCGTTTCATATGTTCATATTTCAATCGTAGTCATCTATTAAAATCTATTCTGTTATAATTTGCTTATTTACCATCCTGTTTAGCTGATTGAATTGCGTAAGTTATGCTTACAGACTAAGGCGAAATTCAGTAGATAGCAGCACTTCTACATTTTGGCATGTTAAACGCAAACACAAACTAACAATAAGACTAATCATAGTCACGTCATAAAAATCAAATTAATAAACCATTTCTAAAGTTTATCCTACTTTACTGTAACCTATGGGCTTTGTAAATTCTATGTGCAGCCTAGAGTGTACAAAGTGTGCTCATATTGTGACTAGCAGTTCAAGTAAAGCGATGCTGATACTAGACTGCTAATGCTGTTACGTTGTTTACTGCAATGGGTGGTAGGAGGATTGGTTGGGGAGGGGAGATTTACTATTTTTCTCGCTCAGCAAAACTTATCTGCAACTTTGAGTTAGCTGACGTTACCTAAATGATCTGAGCATGAATCTTGTGATACTATGAAATCCTTTCCTATAGTGATAAAAGGCTAATTTTTTACTAGGCTTTCTAGCCTGTACACTTCAGCATACTACTGTATATTTTCTTTTATTTGTCGGTAAAGCTGTAGCCTATCGCGGTTCAAGTTGTCTGTGTCAATCAGTAGGTCTTGGGTTCTAAAGTTCAAATATTCAGTAGGATATTATGACTAGATCTTACACTTGGTGTGCTTCAGAGTTGAATCTGTAAAACTGGCAGTCAGCCAGTTCTCATATCCAGCGTGTAAACGTGTAGAGTAGAAAAATATTCATCCCTGTCGAAGATATTGTAACAACAGAAGACAAGGGCCAGGCAACAGATCGTTTATTACGAAAAATCAACACGTATTTATAGATTTTTATGTACATTATTGTAGGTCAATGTTAGTAGAAAATACAGTCTGTTGACTGGTTGTTTCTCACACAAAGTTAACCTTGCATCTCTTGTGGCTGTATCAGTTCATCTATATGTTAACTGTAACCGCCTGTCCACCTTGACCTTTGACCTCAATTACTGTCAACCAATTTGGCCAGCAACCATCTCTCACCACAACATGACTAATATTTGATACATAAACATTGACCTCAATTACTGTCCACCACTTGGCTAGTAGACAGCTCTCACCACAATATGACCTCTTCAAATAATGATTATATTCTGCTTACTCAGGCTTCTTCAGTATTGGTGTAGGAGAAAAAAAGACGTTGTTTAGTAGTCTTGAAGACCACTTGGTCAATGAATAAAACCAATTTCTTCTGACTTAGTCTTCGTTAGTACTTACATCCGATATCCCGGAACACCATGGTATGGTAAATACTTTATGCTAAGCATTTAAAGGGAATATATTTTTGGGGTTTGTACTCTTTTCTTTCTGTCATAGTTGATTTTGTACTTTCATTGCATTACTTTTAGGCTCCTCAACATAATGTAAATAAACTGCAACCACGATATATGAGCCAACCGCAGGATACAATTGCACGTCGTTTAACATCCCCTCCAACACGAAGTATGTGGTCGTCTGTTAATGCTACCGGTGTTCTTGCTAAAAACACTTCAGACAATTTTGGTGGTGTCAAACACAGCACACCAATTCTTGCTGCCGGCACACCAGTAAATCCATCAATGAAAAGGTTGGGAACTGCAAGTCCATTCCAATCACCCGGTGATCCAAGTTTCCATCGTACTCCTTTGCACAATATTGGAAATAATTCTACATCTTTCATTGGATCTCCGTTACACAATAATAACAGTGTCACAGGAAATCCAAATGATGGTTTGGTTAATAAGCAAGATGGTTTGATAACGCCTAATCGTTTAGCTGAAGCACTGCTTACACATCAAAGGTAATTATTGAGTCTTTCATATTTACTCTTCACATTCTATTGCCCATTAACAATTAAGCTGACTTCGGACCGACTTCAAACTCCAACAACATCGAATAATCAATGCTGTATGGTATTGATTCAAGGTTTTTATAGTGCCATGGATATGCGTTGATTGCTTTATCTATGTCATCAATTTATGTTGCTTTTGTTGTAAAGTTAGATTTTATACCTCTGTCTATTTGTTGCTACTGAGGTTGATTAAAAATAGCGGAAAAAATGACCTATGTGTTAATTGGTTCCGGATTAGTATCTTTTTGGTTTGGTTGTGTTCTCTGAAGTGGTTGATTTAATTACGAAGCTTTCATTGTCCCCCCCCCCTTCAACGCAAGCTTTAATATGAAGTGAGTAAACTTATTTGAGTTCTCCATGAATGATGATGTAATTGTACTTCCTGACAACTATTGTCATGATCAGCAATTAACTGACATCTTTATTGACTTGGTCGGTTGGTCGGTCGGTCGATTTTCGACATAGAACTTCGCACATATGTGCGGCAGTTCAAGTCGCCACACTCCATGTAGCACACAAGGCAAGAGAATAAAATAGGAGAAATGCATGGTATAGACAGTAAGCAGAGGTGTGAGACAAAGGAATTTGGAAATCGGAGTTTGTCATGTGACTTATTTTCCATTAGTTGGTAAATTTGATCAATACTGTAACAACAGAAGACAAGGGCCAGGCAACAGATCGTTTATTAGGGAAAATCAACACATATTTGTAGATTTTAATGTACATTATTGTTAGTAGAAAATACAGTCTTTTGATTGGTTGTTTCTCACAGAAAGTTAACCTTGCATCTCTTTGTGGCTGTGTCAGATCATTCATATGCTAACTGTATCCGCCTACGCGAAGCCTTTGTTCTCATTTTCTCACCACCAATATTGGGGACATAAACATTAACGTCAATTACTGTCTACCAACTTTGGCTAGCAGCCGGCTCTCACCACAATAGTAGTACGTTTGTTAATCGTCGATTCATCTAAGTAACAGACTTGTAGAAGTTCCCTGGCGTTTTTGGTGTTTCCTCTTTTTAAAATTCCCACATTTCCCCAATCAAATTGGGGATTTTAAGTCGAAATGGACACCTACTTTGACCAGCGTGGTGTTTATCACAGTTTATGCAAATTATTTTGTAAATGTTATTGGTCTTGTCTTCTTTGGTTGTTGAATCCTTTGATCTACACAATATTGAATGAAATGATTGTGTTGGTTTGTGTGCTATGTCTATTTCAAGTAGTTTAAGTATTCTGACCGTTATTTCAGAGATGAATCTTCTTGTAGTTTTTGAGGATGGTTTCTTGTTAGTATTTCTATTTAAGTTCAAACATATTTTAATGAAATTGCTTGAGTATTCATTCTTCTTGAAGACAGTTAGCAGATGTTTCTCTCTTCTCTCCACTTCAGCACTGGATTACTACAGTGTGTTTGAACTCTTTTAAACAATATCTGCACATAGTTTCCTTTGTGAGTCATTGGGTTATTGCTATTATAGTTGAGTATTTTATCTGTGTATATATGTGTTGGTTTTCTGTATACTTGCGTTTCCAGATTTCCTGTGTTTTTGTTCTCTTGATTAAGACATCTAAGAAAGGATTGTCTTCGAACGTGTTGTTGATTAATTTGTGGGTGTATTTCAAGGAGGAATCCAAGATGTCATAAGATTGAGTGAGGATGGCTAAGACTAATATCTGGTATAGATGAGAATAATAGTCACTTGCTTGAACGTTATAATCTCTTTGTGTCCTGTGTTTATGGGAAGCGAATACTAAGCAAACACGAGAGAACTAGGTAGGCTTTAGACCAGGAAGAGGGTGTATTCATCACACCTTTACCCTTCAACAGATTCTGGAACATAGTCATACTTGATGGCGTCCAAGATTCGTCATACTTCTCGATCTGGAACCGGTATTCGATTCCGTCAACTGAGAGGTACTATGGTGATGTTTGACTGGGAAGGGAATGACGAGAAAATACATTGCACTAATCAATGCACTTTATTCGGACACATGCAGTCAGCAAGGTGAGAGCTTACGGCGAGTTGTCATCTGAAGTGGTGACAACCAGTGGTATCCGTCAGGGGTGCCCACTATCCCCATTTCTATTCAGCTTCAACATAGATGTACTAATGGAATTAACACTAACTGATTTGACTTCAGCGACTCCGGGATTGATTTGTTACCAAGGAATAATCTCGTTGACTTAGAATATGCAGGTGATATAGTCCTTCTAGGTGAAGACGCTGAGAAAATGCAGAGTATTCTGAACACCTTGGGCAGCAGTTTTCCAATGTTTGGCATGCGATTCACTCCCCTCGTCAAATGTATGACGCTACAGGACCGGACTACATTGACTCTTAGCTTAGAAATAGGTAGGAGTGAAGTGGTTGGTGGAGCATGTTGACCACTTTACATCAACCCCAACGAGTTGATTGCTGACAAAATTTCAGCATGGATACAGAAAGCTCGTTTGGGATACTCCAACTTAAGCCATCTCTGGTGTGGACGTGATATCCGGTTGGCTGTCGACCGAAAGGCGTGTGAACAGCTCTGCAGTCTGGTCTGTTCTCTTTTATGGTTGTGAGTGAGACATGGCCAATGAAAGTGGAAGACATGAAAAGCTTGGCTAGTTGTCTTTGATCATAGGTATCTGCATTCCATTCCCCGTGTATAACAAGTGGTATAAAAAGATGAGCAATATTGAGGTTAAGCTTAGGTCGAGTGCTAGGTAAGGAGAAGGAATGAATCGACGAGGCTGTGAAGTCATATCGATTGAGATGGTTAGGACATCGCCATCCTCGACGGTCAATGTTAGCTGAAATAGGATCAGATTGGAAAAGAGCTGGCATATGGCGGTCAAACCAGAACATGGCTTTATCAGTCAATGAAATCCACAAGTTAGTTTAAGCTAGTCGCGTAGGGAGGTGTAGACTTCCTGGTTGGTGTTCTTGGGATGGTAAAAACCAATGGTTGGTGATATGGCTGGACATCGTTCTCAATGGCGCAGATGCATTCACTCTTTATGATTTATAATATCCAATAAAATTATATTGTCCTTCCATATTATTATTGTCATTTCGCCTGAAACTTCTGTTTATTATCTCTCTTTTGAAACTCTACTTCCTTCTCTTGCTTTGTGTGCTACATGCAGGGAGTGTGGCAACTCGAACTGCTGCACATCTGTGCAAAGTTCCGTGTTGCAACCAGTCAGTGAGTCAAGCAAAAGTAGTGTGAAAACACTCGATGTGTAATGCACACAACTTACAGTTTGTTCATTGCGTCTACATAGAGCTCCAATATGGATGAAATTTTATTTTGATGGAGCTGCCAGTTGGTTTTTTTTATTCCTTCACGTTCCCAGTGGAACATAGGGCTTCAAGCTAGAGGCTTAAAGTTTCTGTAGCAGTGCTTATTTTTACAGGATGGGGTTGCTAGCCTCATGCCCAACCTTTCCTCTTTACCAGCTTTTATTTCTGGTTTAGCGAGGTAAAGGACTCGTCGGCCAGTTGGTTAGTGTGACAGATTTGTTTAATAACTGTGTCATCCTAAAAGGTAAGTATCCAGACACGAATATAAGAGGATAAACAGTTTAGCGAAGAGTCTCTTTTCGATGAATTGTTTCAGTCTAAAGATAAACTGTCGCATTTGACCATTTCTATGTGTATCTACGAATTTAATTGTCCATGTAAAGCGAGACATATAGGTTGTTCGATGCGTTACCCCACTTGTCTACGAAAAGGTATCAGTAGATCAATATAGAGTGCTCTAAGTGAACATGTAGTCAACACCAGTCATTCAATATGTAAGGAGAATTCACTCAAATTGATCTATAAAGTCAAAGTGAACCTCTCGAAAACGGTAAGCTTCCGTATACTTTGCATTGCTGAGGAGGCCTTAGCGATTCGGATGGAAAGCCCTGTGTTTTATGTACACAGAAGAAACTTCTCCATCCGCTCCTTCTACCCCTTGGGTATAACTCCAAGTTCAACTACTTTGTTATCAATACTATTTTGTATGACATTTTAGTGACATCTTTTTTTTAACTAACCCTATATTTACTCTTTTTACTTACTACATAATTTATTTTGGATACTTGTCTCCATGCTGTTTCATGAACATCCTATTTTTCTGGATGTTTTTCATGTTACGTAACCCTATTTAAGACTTACTAATCTTCATTCTCCCATCCTCGTTACAGTCTGATTACTCATCACAGCTTTTGAAATATGCTGGTAACGTAAACAATAAGCCTAACTAGTTTTTATTCTTATCTGACGAACCTAATGTACCAACACACATACAGAAAAATAATTATATATATATGCGATGGTAGCGGCTAAGTGAGTGAATTCACCGTCGACAAGAGACTCTTCGCTGAATTGTTTATTCTTCTATTCATGTACTAAAAGAGGTTAAAAATGATTAAGTAGTAATCAAATTGACCTTCAGATTGAAGCCTGAGTTTGAAATGGTTCTATTGTGGTGAGAGCTGTCTACTAGCCAAATTGGTAGACAGTAATTTACGTCAGTGTTTACGTTCTCAAGATTTGTCGTGAGAAAATATGAACAAAGACTGATTCAAAACCGACCACAGCAGACTTTGCGTAGGCGGATACAGTTAACATATAGATGATCTGACATTCAAGAAACAGTCACAAATAGATGAAAGATTAACTTTACGTGAGAAACAACCAATCAGAAGACTGTGTTTGTTTGCTTAACTAATCTATAATAATGTACATGAAAATATATAAATATGCTTTGATTTCCTTAATAAACGATCTGTTGCCTGGCCCTTGTCTCCTGTTGTTACACTATTAACTGAAATCAGTGAGTATGTAATCTTAATGCCGTTGATTAATATTCCAACATCTAAGTATATAAACCTGTATTGAATGTAAATAAATTCATTTTACTGTTCTTGATTCACTTATTTATTTATTTCACTCACAGTTTCAACGATAATGATTCTGCAAATCTACACGATTGTTGGGTGACTGTTTTTGGGTAAGTCTGTTGACTATTTGAAGTATATTCCATTTTCAAGTGTTGGTGGTTTGCAGCGATAGGACTGGTTACAGGATTTCATTATGAGCTGAAATAGGTTAGACAGTCATTGGAAAGCCAGTACTAGAGTATTGGTCAGTTGTTTCGTCCTAGTTTGGGACTCTTCATCCGTGCGCACCCACCGCCAGAGGTCGAATCCAGAAACTTCTGGTTACAAGGCGAGTTCATAGATGGCCGTTAAGCCTCTGGGATCCGACCCAGTGGCTAGTCCATGAATTCCAACTTCACCTTGTAACGGGAAGGTCCTGGGTTCGAATCCCATTGGGTGCGTACTGATGAAGAGTCCCAAACTAGGACGAACTAGCTATCCAATACTCCAGTACTGGTTTTCAAATGCTCGTCTAACCGATGTAAGCTCATGATGAAATCCTGTAACCAGTCAAATCCCTGCAAATCACAAACACTTGAATGTTAACTTGATGCTCACTTACGATTGACCCTATTCAGTTAGGTAGTTGCCTGTGTTCTAGTGGGAAGTCATGACCAATGGGGTATAACGGGTCGGATGTGAGGACAAATACTGACCACCGATGATATTGGCTAGTGTGCGCGCTATGTCGTTCATTCCATTTTGTTTACTGTACTGATAAATATATATGAAGTGTTATTGATAGGACTGCCTTGATAACTGTTTTCAGTTCTTTATAAGCAAGTGTCTTAGATATCTTTCTGAGGTTGTAGTTGCTTGGCTGATTGTGAAATCGTCTTAGAACTTTCATTGGAAGTGAATGGGTCACCACGACTATAAAGAGGTGAAATTTATTATTATTATTAAGTTGAATTATGTGACAGTTATCAGACACCGGGAATTTAGTAACAATGTAGACTGTTGTTCTTCCACATTGTTATTCTTTTTCCCTCACTCACACTTCTGTTTATTATCTGTTGATGAATCTCTGTTTACTCTCTTCTCATGCTTTATGTGGTACATGCAGAGAGTGTAGCAACTCGGACTGCTGTACATCTGTGCAAAGTTCTATGTTGAAACTAGTCAGTCAGTCAGGCAAGGCATTTATCGAAAATATCGACTCTTTGCACTTTATGTCAAATTTGTACTTCTGGTTGGGGGGGGGACATTACTTGTTCGCTCTTACTTCAGTTTAGTCGACATCTGTCCTTTTTGACCTTCAATAAAATAATGGATTATGCAAGTGACTTTGTAAAAATATTGTCTTCTAAACGCCCTGATCGACGTTTTAAGAGTACTGTAGTTCCTGATTGCAAATTTGTTTCTTCAGAACTAGTAGGTATCAATGCTTCCTTGGATATTCTTTGCTCAATCTTTTCTTCTTCTTCTAACTGTCTAAATGGAAATTTTCACGATATTGAAATCTTCCTCGGATAATCGGTGGTGGCAGACAAATGGTTGTGAACGTACTGGTGGTGTTTATCCTATTTCTTCTGTTTTGTCTGTCCAGCTACGTAGAGATTTCATCATGGACTGAAAGGATGTCTGACTTTTATCAACTGATACCAGTTGTTTTACGATAATAATAATAATAATGGTGCGATTTATTCCAAAACTGTACTTGTGATACAGAATGGAATTCTCAGCATTTGTCGCAATATTGCATCGAATTATTTACTCAAAATATAAATAAAATTTAACGACAGGTACCTTTCCATATTTACAGTGGGAATAATATCAGAAATGTGCAAAGTATAAAATGCGAATAGTAACCATGACAATAATAATAACAGTAGGTTTGTTTAAAACAATATTGTCATTACAGTTTGTAGAAATCTTGGCATGTTATGCAGTATTGAATTTAATGTTCTTTTGACATAGCAGCATAGTGGGTGGGTGGGGGTTAAACGAAAAATAACAGCTACTACAGAGCTTAAATGATGTTTACAATTGTAGTAAAAAAATGAGAGGACTATAAATATAGGAGCAATAATAACAGTAAGAGTTGATGGCATAAGGACGAAGGAAATTGTTTATTTAATAGTGGAAAGAAGGTTAGTTAGTTCGTTCCTAACGCTGTTTCCATCACATAAAATACTGGCTATATATGGTATCGTGGAATTTTTATGCTTAGACGTGCACGCATAAAGTCTCTTGAAGTGACTTCGCATTCTATCTGAGGACATCCAAGGTGAAAGGTGAGGGTAAAGTGTATGCTCACAGTCTGACTAAATCCCTTTAGCGAACTGATTGCATGTAATCAAGCGCTTATCAATGACGATGTCAACTATTTGGCCCAATGGGATACCACTCGCCCTACTGACAGTCTTCAGAGTTCTACGAATTATGACATAGTCTTTTAAAGCAACCCAGGAAAGAATAAGTGTGAAGAATAAAGAAGAATAGGTAAGATGAAAGAGTCGACAAACTGTAAGAGGAGGGGTTAGTGGAGTTATGCCCGAGTGCCTTAACTTCTTAGTGTATACGGAATATTTTACTAGAAATCGTTGAGAAGTGGGAAGACCAGGATAAACTAGAAAGATAAATAAGTCTAAAGTGCTTTACGCCAGACTTGATTTCTATGTCATTATTATCAATTTTGCAACGGTCGTGGGAATTAACAGCTTCACATAACTTTCTTTTACAGCGGAAACTGAATTTAGCAGCCTCACACTTGGAAGGATTTAGTTTAAGACCATTAGACGAAGACCATTTGCTAACTCCTGATAGAAAGCTATTCATCTTAATACAGTCTAGCTGGGAGTTAACAGACATTGAAATAATTGGATAATCAGCATACTTAATAAAGTTTTTTTCATCACAATGAGGCAAGTCATGCAAGAAGAAAGGAAACAGAAAAGGGGAAAGGAGAGCACCTTCAGGGACGCCAGCCTTAATAAGCAATGAATTGGACGACTTCCCCTGACATGCAATGTACTGCTTTCTTCCTGAGAAATAAGAATGCAGCCGTTTGACAACGCCACACTCATTTTGAGTTTCAGCAAGCTTATTTAACAAAATATCCCTAGGTATCACCGAGTGAAAAGCAGATGTGTCTAGACTAGAGACGATGTTGTTATGCAAGACTGCAGTTGCATCTAAAGTACTTCTACTATGTTTGTAGGCAAATTGTTTGGAATCAGTAAAGGCTTTAAGTGAAGGTTCAAGATTAAGTCAAAGCACCTTTTCCATAGTTAAATTTAACACATGTTCCTGTAGATAACTTTGGTATAGGTACAATTTTAATGTTTTTCCAAACGGCTGGTAAAATATTCATTAAATGTATCAGTGAGAGGTTAACATAAGATGTCTGCATATTTTTTAAGAACAGAACCTGGGCTTCGAGAAGAGTTGTTGATATCTAAAGAAAAAACCTATTTCATACAACCGGTTTCCTTTATTAGTTTGAAGAGAGAGAAAGAACGAATATGTTTGCAGGATAATACGAGCTCGTTTTATTTCGTGGATACTCATCAACTGCATACATCCTAAACAAAATCAAATTATAAGTTTCAAAAAGTTTTGGAACATACTTTTCCATAATTACTTGGAGTTATAGATAGAAGGTATAAGGAACATAATTCCAGAATTTGATGTAGGTAGACAGATTATTCAGTGTCAAAAAAAACAACTAATTATATATAGTGGAATTAGATAAGAGGGGTTAGAGTTCAGATTTCTATTGGAAAACAACACAGATTGGTTAGAGGCATATTACAGGGTCAGGGTCAGAGAACAGAGTAAATTTACACATCTTGTAGTGGAGAGTTTAAGAGGGTGGGGGTGAATAGTGAAGTAACATTTATAACTTAAACAGACAAACAATTGAGTAGATTTAGAAACTTGAAGGTCGAAATTGAATAGAATGTTATGTAGCAAGACAAACACACAGGCATACTGACAGAAAGGCAAAACAAAAATAAAATAAAATAGAGTTAGGGTTACCAAGGTAGTGAAAGATTAATCACACTATCTTTCTGTATACAAAGGTCTGGTCGAAATCTCTTGATAGCAATGGCTTCTGCGAAGCGAAGTAGCCGTGGGTTTCTTTGTGTATTGATTATTTTGAAGGCTTGGCTGATTTCTATTGTGTGTCCTGTGTCAATTAGATGTCTGGCGATTGCACTTGATAACACTTTTCTTCCTTTTGTACAGAGACTCTTAGGGATGTGCTCAGAAAATCTAGTAGATGCTCTCCTCTCAGTCCTGTTAATATGATATCATTCTATTTCTCGCCAGCTGCAAACTACCTGAAATTACAATGGTTATAAATTATAAGATTTCATACTTCATTGTTTGAAAGGTAATAGAGAAGACATTATAAGATGAACGTTTCTGCAACATAAGTATTACAATACTTTTTAGTTTAAGTTAACATCAATTTATATACTATCAAACTATGAAAAAACAAAAAGGAAGGGGGTGAGAGAAGATAGAAAAATCTAATAAACAGTGTTAGCTTGTACGTCAACATGGCAACTCAAGAAGGTCAAAGTTCATCAATTTGAGAACTTGCTTAGTCAGCTCAATTCACTAGTGTGTATGACTAACCAGTGTAATGAAAGTGATATGGTTACCAAGGGAGTGAGAGATTGATTACACTATCTTTCTGTGTGCATAAGTTTGGTCTGAGACGTTTGATTGCAATTGCTTCAGCAAATCGTAGTAGATTCGCTGTCCTTTGTATGCTTAATATGTTTTTTCATAGTTTGATAGTATATAAATTGATAGTAACTTAAACTATAAATTGTAATACTTATATTCCGGAAACGTTCATCTTATAATGTCTTCTCTATTACCTTTCAAACAATGAAGTATGAAATCTTATAATTCATAACCATTGTAATTTCAGGTAGTTTGCAGCTGACGAGAACTTGTGAAAAAGAATGATGATATTCTTTTATACTGCAAATCTGGTCTTTCTATTTCGATCGAAATTTATCAAGGGAACCAAATGTATGAAGAAACTATTAAACAGAACGTTGACTGCATAGCTTTATTCTTTCATAACCTTTGTCTCTTTCAAGTATTA